TTATGTAGTTAGCCTATTATACGGAAGCGGGTAGGTAATATAGGAAACATTCCATTATGTTAACCGCCCATTGCGATTGTCTGGGGATTGTTAACCGTGGTATCAGCCTGGCTTGCATGTGTGACGCCGCGGATTACCATATTATCGCATGCGACCCGACAATCAATTTTTGCACCTCCAAGCATTTTTGCGAGACGTAAATTCTTTCTTGGAGAACATTTGGGATTGACTCACTGATGGTATGTTTATTGTATATGAAAACTAGATAACGTAAAATTTGTACCTAGGTGTATTGGTAAGTTTGGTGGTATTGGTGTATGGGTATGTATTATTTGATGTTCAAAAAGATCGGGTGATTGTTTTATACTTAATAACTATTGATTTATTAAGTTAATGGCGAGAAAAGTAAGACCAAATGTTTTAAACTGTAAAGTGTCTAATTTTATTGCTGGCGTTAGTATACCTGAAGTTTTCTTGACTCGTGTAATTATTTTAGTAGTGCGTTTTTATACTACTTAGAACTGATTATTTTTTTTTAGAGTGCAAATAGTTGGACAATTAGATAACACTTTTTGTAATACTAATTTAATTGTTTACTGACTAGAACTAGGTTCTAAATAGGATTGGATTCGAATAAAGTTTAGATGTAGGTCATGTTTATCTGAAATTATACCAACCTGGATTTTACACAGCAGGAGAATAAGTGGAATACTAAACCATTTCCCTTATTGGATTAATTTTTGACTAGGGTACCCGTTTGCAAATTGCACAGTACTAAACTGGTTTCTTATCATAATCTATAAAATGACACCTCAATCGTGAAAATCTGTAACGTAGGGTGGTTGTAAAAGGGAAGACCCTTGTTGTATTAAGTATATGCATTTGCCTTAAACCTTAAAAATATAGCTTTAAAAAATGTAAATTTATCATTATTTTGTTATTATAATTTTATGGGTTAGTGTGCAATACGGACATGAAACAAACACCAAAACAGACTTCATATTTAACAATTGAATTAAACGTTGTCTCGGTACTCAGGTATTATCCGGAGGCCACCCTAAACAGCGCGCTGCGGCGGTTATGTTAGGTTGGGTTATCATAAATATGATTGTAGGACGTTCCTCCAATTTATAAATCCATCCTCACTAAATATAACGATCTATATTACTACTGTCTTTACTGTGCTATTGTACCAAAGGGTCAAGAGCAAACTACAAAATATACACTAATTGTCTGGGTAACCGAGTGGTTAAAGTGATCGCCTAAAATCTGAAGGTCGCTGGCTCGACTCCAAGCGTTATAATTTCTGGAACTAGATGTCCAGGTATTGGTCCGTTTCCCTTTAAAAACATTACAAAATGCCATCGAAACACAAATAAAAACCATGATAAACCAATGATTAGTACCTATCTCAACAAACGTTCTATAAATGCCTCCAATAACACGATACTGTAAAAAGTTCATCCACATACCAACTGTAAAAACTTATTACTAAACAGAAAATAATTATTTGTTGCGTTTGTCATTACAGCCGAGATATCTCAAAGGTGCTGTAAAAGTTTCTTGTAAAGCAAGGTGGCCAATCTAGATGGGTCGAAGTGACTCAGCGTACATTGATTAGTGTTGCATGCAAGTGTATGCTAATGTCTGGTCTGATAGCGTGGACATTATTGTACCAACCCCTCCTCTGCACCTCCCTACATACCCTTGGACACCAACACTACATACACTACTATGTACAAGAATCATAGTCCTAGATTTATTTGATTGTATGGACATGACTGTTCCAACTGCCTCTTACTGTGACCCTTAGTCTTGCATTGGTTTTATGCTTATGTGGTTATTCCTGCAATGATGTTTATTCATGCACAATGGAATGGTGGGCCAAGTTGGAGTCTGCTGCTGCAGAAAAATGTCCGGCAGGAATTCAAGTACTTTGACACCTTCTTTAAGGTTGTCACTAAGAAGACAGCCCTCCAACTGAGATGCGCAAGCCACAGGTATAATCAGGGTCCCAACAAAAGTCGTCCAGATGGTACATAAAGAAGTACTGGATATGCAATCAGATCATATGTCAAAAATTCTCCCTCGGTAAGCCATTTGAGATAGTAAGTAGACCATCGGGGGAAAATAGGTAGGGGAAAGAGGCCTATCCCCATAAGCGATTTGGTTTGGGTCCGACTGGGTCGGGCGTTTTTTGGAACAGGATATAACCTTTTTCCAACCGGAGGTCACTGAGGTATGGTTTGTGTCAACGAGAATGTCAAAAACATAATTACAGACAAAAGAATACGTATCTACAGTCAAGCAACTTTAAAATCTCTCAAATCAAATAAGTTAAACTCAAACAAGAACGGTTCGGAAAGCATCTGCAACAAATAAGTATAACGGTACTCAACTATCATTAATTAGGAAGTCCACCTACCTTTCGACTGTGAGGAGGAAAGGATTGAAGTAAAAAAGGCATATCTTGACAACCTGAGGGAGTCACCTTCTTGAGGAGGAACTGATCGGTAGGATAGAGACATTATTCAGGTGGCTTGATATCGAAGTTGTTTGGATACATCATCTGTATTCAATCATCATCCGTTACATCAGTAACAGAGAATCCACTATCTCAGGAAAACTCGTTTTTCGCTAATTGAAAATGAACAAATTTTACACTCGCTCTTTGGGTTGCCAAGTACCAATGTTGGTTTTATAAAATGACAAGGCAAAACTAAACAACAGACTTTAACATGTGTTTATAAGAAGCTGTCCACAGTAAACTAGCAAATTACGAAACACAGTACAAAGGAAAACATTCAGTCATTGACTATCAAAGGTTATAGCCTAAACTAAATTGTTGTAAGAAAATATTATGATTAAGAGGATAATATACATTGAGAAATGTACATTGAGCCTTAAAAGAAGCCCGAGGGACGTCAAGAACGGGAATAGAAAAAAAGAAGACTTCTCCCTCCTGTTCTGTCACACATAAAGGACAACAATATACGACATACAACTTAGGCCTGCATTGAGATGTTATTTATTTAAGTTTGAGTTTAGTCCGTATTAAGTTCGAATTCAGCATCACATAGGTCTACCACGTCCATTTAAATCAGACAGAGGGGGATACAATTCCAGGAGGGTACAATTCCGGCCCCAAAAGGAAGGCTACACTGACACGGGGTACAATTCCAAATAAGAGTCAGTTCTAGATGAGGGGGGTACAATTCCCGGCCGTCCAGTTTTTATATGGTGATGAATTTAATCAAACTCGTGCATCTAATATCAAAGTTTTATGAGTACAATGCCGACCTGTACACTCTAATTTGGTTGTGAAATGAGAATTCATCATGACGTCACTAACCTGGTTGGGGTATAATTTCGCTACCCCTATTGTACGAGCCCCTCCTCACCCTACTACCTTGGACTCAAACTGTTATAACTCTGCACTGCTACTAACATGTATATGTATGAAACAGAGTACCGATACCTTTTAACAATCAACATGGAAACGAAATGTGCTAGGTAGTGGATCGTATTGTTTACATCAAGGTTAGTTAGCTGATTACTATAGCACCTTTAAATTACTGGAACGTGATATAAAAAAGGATTTAAAGGAATAAGTTAACCTGTAAAGCCGATATTTTTATTTAAGCATCAACAATTTACCTCATTATGTATTTTAAAGCCAACAATAATATGACATTCCGATATTAAACGAATACATGCTAACACTGACCTATATAAAACATTCGGTGATCTAGGACAACAGCGTTTTCAGACGTCTCTTATTGCAAACAATAAACTTCTACATGATCGCAACGGCTGTGTTCCACCCTTTCGTAATCGTTAAATACAATATAAGGATTTATTATACTTTAGCATAATAATATGAAATGCGTCTTTCTCAAATAGTTCAGAAACTAATGCGTACGGGAAAGTTATTCATACATCTGCACAAGTATTCGAATGTAATCAACCAAATGTAGGACAGCAGGATATGTTTATATTGTTATAAAAGATACCTAAAAGGCACAAACTAGAAAATAAACAAGGATGGGTTGTGAAAATATAATGTTTACCCATCGTCTGAATTGTTTACAAGTACGAAATATCTACACGTGTACGTAGACGGGTGAGCTACAAATTGTATAAGAGACTAAATGAAGACAACTCATAACGTTCCCTGGACTAGACTCCGGCTTTAGAAGAAATAATTAAATGTGCCTACAATACTAAATTATAATCCTACTTTACAGGTATATATTTTATTAAAAACTACACAGTACTTTAACTACTACACTCTATTATATCCCTAAAATATGATGGATGTGGTGCTTTATATTCACGACCTAATTAACGTAACGTTTAAGTGCAAATTACAATATTTTGTCATAAATACAACTTTTGGATGATTTTAAAACTTACTAACTGGTGCCTTGGACTAATAGATAGTCGAGTACCCTCCTGACGACCCTCCTGTTTTTAAATACTTTTTAACCGCTTTTCTTTGAAACTCCATGTTCTCCTAACAACAACTACTGCTAAAATTTCGTCAAATCAGTTAGAAAAACACACATAGCAAAATCACATTTACGATCCTACCATCCATAACTTTACCAACCATAACTATTTACAACATTCAACACCCACTCGAGCCATGACGATAAACCCTAACAATACCCTCGCATGCCACACATATCTCGGTGTTTGTTTAGCCGGAATATTTGTAAAGGTTTCCCGCAAGGTTGTGTTATAGAGCCCTTCCTATTCGTGACTTAGCTCATTAGCAACTAGGGCTCCGCAATATACTACCGTCCAATCTTTTAATTAGCTAGAGTAATTAAATTGTGTGATTAGACTCAAAACATCTAGAGGAAATGTAATTTAATTTCGTGTGTTAATTCTTAATTATAATTTAGGGATAATCTGTAAGAGTCTTGTGTATATCCCGCCTCAGAAATATTGATTCCTGTCGCCCCCTCCCGGCTCTATCTGTGTTTACCACATTGCCGGACCGACCCCCGTGCTACGTAGTTCTAGCGGGTAGTTACTGAGTGTTACATTTGTGTTAAGTTAAACAAATTTGAAACGGTAAGTTAGTTTGATTTAGTTTCTAAATTATGTGTTTTGTTGGTGTTGTAAAAATAAAATGTAGGAATATAAGTACGCGTAATTTTGGTTTTTTTTATTTGATGCTTCAATATACTGTAATAAGTTTTTAGCTATAAGTATGTTTAGGTCAATATTTTTTGGTAATTATATAAAAAAAGCATTGTAAAACCTTTGAATAAGTACGTTGTAACTTTGGGCGCACTAGTTCATTCAGACGCTCATTGTTGGTATTGTAAATTTGCGTGAACAACTTAACGCTATCTAATTTGTTTTCTAATAACTAAAATGTTATATAAAATAGTAATTTGTTTGACAAAATATTGCTCGCGAAACCTTATATTTTGTTCGTCGCAGGTTAAATCCCAAAAAGTAAGTGCACCCTAGTCTTATTCGTTCTTAGATAACTAGACATTCCGGTATGTTCCTAGTGAATGGATAGTTCATATATTAATTTTCTTTCTATAATGAATGCGTTCTAGTATGTATATAGTAATAAATGAATATCTATTGACTTTATGCGAACCATAAGTAATAAGTAGGGTCCTTAGAACGTACTCTCTAAAAATATTTGAATTTGATATTTAAAAGCTTAATCAAAACTGCTAACGTATTCAAATATATACTTGTTAAAAGATAAAAAAACTTAATTATTACTGAAATTTGAGAATATAGGGTTCTACTATTGGTTAAAATATTTCTATATATCTACGAAAAGGCTTCAAAAAGTTTATCAACACTAATAGTTTTAAGCTTTACGAGCGTTTCGGGCGAAAATATTGCATTTAATATGATCATGTATAGCAGTTACTGTATATGATAATTGTTATACAACTTGTAAAGTAGTATTAAGAATTAAATACATCAATAGGTCTTTTTATTTTAAATTTTACTTTTATCGTAACGTGTATTTAAGAAAATCTAAATTTTTTAAAGTTGAAATATAACATTTTCTAATAACCAATGATAGAACATTTTTAATACAATTATCTAGGAGCGTTCTCAATAACAGTAATCCAGTAAGTCAATCATTGTTATTTGAAACTCGTCCCCATCCTCTGTAACAACTGGTATACAATATTATAAACGTAAGAGTTAAACTATGAACTTGATATACAGGGTTAGGCAAAAGTCTGGAACCCCCCAGTTAACTTTTTCACGCGTTGCAGTAGAAAAACCAAACTCGGCACATATTTACAACATGATAAATTGCACTTTATCATAATAATTAAAACTTTGCCCCAGCCCCCAAAATGGGTTATTTTGGGGGCAGCCCTAAATTTTTAAATGTAAACACCTGTCATGTGACCCCTCATTTGAAATTTTTTATCAAAATAAATTGAATGCGCAAATCATAGGTCAATACAGCACCCCTAATCAAAATGGCAGCCATTTTAATTTAAGATGTGCAAGAAAAATAAAGTCTGGACACCCCCAGTTAACTTTATAACGTGTGGCAGTGGGAAAACCAAACTCGGCACATGTTTACAACATACAAAAATGCACTTCTTCTTTAAAGTTAGAACTTGTACCCGGCCCCCAAAATGGGGTATTTTGGGAGCATTCCCAGATTTTATAATGTTAACACCTATCATGTGACCCCTCATTTTGAAGTGTTTTACAAAGACAAAATAAATGGCCCAAACTAGAGGTCAATATCGCACCCCATATCAAAATGGCAGTCATTTTGAAATATCCCCTATTAATTTTTTACAGGTTATAGCAGGAAAATTAAACTCAGCATACCTTTATAAAAAAAAAATCACCTTTTGGTCGGTATTAAAATATAAAATTTTTAAAGTTAACTGGGGGTGTCCAGACTATCTTGCTTGCTCATCTTAAATAATTAAAATGGCTGCCATTTTGATTAGGGATGCGATATTGACCTCTGGTTTGCGCAATTCAATTACTCTTGATAAACCCTTTAAAAAGAAGGGTCACATGATGTTGTTTACATTTGAAAATTTGGGGCCGCCCCTATGATGTTTTTGGCTGTTTTACATACGTTAATTGGTGGCTGAAAGTTATGTTTTGCTGGCCATGCCAGCTGTCATCGTCATTTGGGGACCGAGCAGGTTTTTACATCCCTAGGGCCGCAAAATCAGCTGTCCGCTTAACTTTCTTAAAACATTAATGCATATTAAATACACAATCAGTATCCATAGCATTGCAATAGAATTGTTTTATTGTCACCGTTGCCTAGCAACTATTTATTATTATTTTTGCTGATTCCTCAATTTATTTCTTCACATAACCTTAAAGTTGTAGTTGTGATGCCTGTGTACATTGTGGTAGTGGTAATAGGTATAGTGGGGTGAAAAATAGCGTTCGTACCACGGACCAAAATGGTTTTGCAGCTCCCGATCGTTTTAAATTCTCGACTTCGTCTCGAACTTAAAAACTATCTCGAGCCGGCAAAAACTCATTTTCGGCCCTAGGTACGAAATATACTATTTTTAAGGGTAAAAATCAATTTTATTCACGTTTTAGTAGGCTGTAAATGAAAATATATTGCTTGTGATGGTGTGAGAAACGTATAATTTAAAAAAATACAAATTAAATTAAGAATACGCCATTGTGATTACTAAAGTTGATACTAAACATTAAAATCTGATGATAAATCATGCTTCAAAAAACTATCAAAATAAAACAAGAAATAATAATACATATTACTAAACCGCGTAGTGTAATTTATCAGTGTAATTTTAAAGCCGAAATAACACTATACCTGGTAATTTAACATGGACATTTTAAAAGGCTTGCACAAAATATCTTGCTATTTCACTAACCTTTTATTTCTTTTATTGCCAACACTTAATTATTATCTTTGAAAATGTAATCAGCATTGAGTGTTTTAGAAGCATTAATCCTCCATTGAAGACGGGTACTTTGCTTAATGTATAAAACCATCAAATCTTTAATTTCAACCTGCACCGTGCTAACCCATTCACCTGTATAAAAATTCATTTTAATGGGTTGGGGATTTTAACTAGATAAACTCATAATCTTTTTCCGATCCAGAAGATTATAGGTTTAATTTAGGTTAGACTGGATATCACATAGTTTAATGTTACTGTTTAAATTCATCCTATTAGCAAACAACATTAACGTATCCACCATCCAGCATCCAGCAAATCATGTATTTACTGACTCTGTTAATGAAGTGCTAATGTGTGGAAAAAGTGACGCGCCTGAAGGTGTTTTGGTTGAGTAGATATAGGTAAAAACAACTGCGTTAATGTAAGATACCATGACAAAATAAATCTACCTTGAGTTTTCATAAAATATATGCGATTTTAATTATCATACATTAGGAAACTGTTTGTCGCTTTGTAATACATTCATCGGAAAATGCACACTATCATTTTAGAGACTCAACATAACACGTATTCCCGAATAATTTTCAACTTGAAATATCTTATGAGCCTACTCTTCCACACAATCCCAATTTTGTTCTTAAACATTTTATCAAGTATCACAAACCAGCCAATAGTAATAGTCGGTTTTCATCCAGTTTATTTTTTAAGCGGGAAATGAACGAGAACTAAATTATTGTGTATGTTACAATACGGTTCTATTAATCTATTGTGATGAAAATAGTTATTTTTTTATTTACTTGTTCCTTGAGATATTTGGTGTACATAAAAAGAGGAAATAAACAACAGATATTAAGATTACCTGTCGATGAGGAAATATTTTTTTCTACTTCTCAAAATGTTATTTTATGTGTTGTGTTATGTGACAATACTATTTGAGAAAGCATTATAGGGTGTAGGTCTATATCTACTTCATTTATCAAATGCTATTCAAGCATTAAATGCATATGAATTATCGTGTTCCTTCTAAATCAGTACAAGTACTCCCCTTTAAAAGATTTTTTGTTTCGATTACACATCACTAATGTTTTAGAATTATTCTTATAGTTGAAACAATAAGCTTTTGAATTTTCTTGTATACGCTTTCTAAAATAGAAGCTTGTATCGAGTCTTTACTTCTTACTTCGCTTTTTACGCATAAAAGAAAGAGATAGCCAGCCAGGTAACGTTTGCATAATCCAATAAACTGACTATGTAGGTCAACAATAAATTTGCTCTGATTTCGGTCGACCTTCTCAGTATGGTATATCCGTATATCCTGTACCAGCGGGGTACCTTGTGATGTTAGTATGTGAATCAATGTGGACACAGTAGGAATACAATATACATTATACAGTGCTACAGTTTTAGATTACGAGTTTTATGCTCATTTCTCGGTCACCAAAAACTGCTTTGATAGTAAGTACGTTATCCGTTCTTATGTCTTTTCGAAAAAAAATGTCACCTTAATTCGTATAACCTATTTAAAGCTAGATATTTATCCTTGAAAACGACGTATTTTCAAAGTCTCCCTAATAAAAATAGACTCTAATTTATAAGTTCTACTTTTTCTAATTATATTTCTATAGATAGAAGGAAAAAGAAATACAGAACTATTGTCGAGGAGACGTGGCCTAGATCAGGAATCATACTATTGTGTTTAATTTGTTCGTAACATTTTTTAAACATTTTCAGTCTTTAAAATAATTAGGCTTTATCTCTGGTACAGATGACACTAGATAGAGATATTTCTCCCTCAAACTACCACAGAAGATTGTAAGGCTTGGTTGGCTTGTAGAGTATCGATACCGTTCATCCCTTTGGCAGGCGAGCTAATAATTTGCATACAGTTTTGCATAATGAACTACCTATACTTAGTGGAGATCCCTTTATACCCTACCAATTGATTTTTTAGAGGGTTCACAGTCACCTTGTATACCCCATATTGTTTAACCCAGTTCTTCCTATTGATTTTCATATTTGTCCATTTGTTTAAGATTCCTCCTCATTAAATCATACTAATTATTTAACCTCAACGTGTTTCTTTCAATTGCCGCAAAACTTGGTCTACTTTTCAATTCAATGATAAATTGTGGTATAAAATACCCCCGCCGCAACAAACCTGCCGACTAAGCGAATTTCCATCTGCCTGAATTGATTTTCAATCTATTTAAATAACATTAACATTAGGTTTGACGAGTACTTAGGTTTGCTGCTACAGGGAAACTAATAGTGTGTTTTTTAGTAAAATTAATAGCTTAGTATAAAATAAATAAATTTACCAAGTTTGATCCAAATATATATTCATAAACAAGCTAACTACAACATTTTAAAATATTCTCCATAAGAATAACATGGGAATTTTAAATTTAGTTTGTTTAATTTTCTCCGTTACCAATAAACGTGCAAAAACATTTGATGCTTTGTTAATTATTTGTTTTTTTAAAAGTTCTTTCAAAGGCTTAGAGAGAAATTGGAAAATTTTGTGTTTTGAGGGTCAAAAATGAGAAAAAAACATTTATTACCCCTTTTCCCATGGCCCGATCATGTTGGTTCGAGAACTCATTCAAGTTTATTCCGCCTTACACCTTTAAACCAAATACCATCAAAATGAGACAAAAATTACTCAAGTTATCGCGTTCACGGACGTATGTATATGTATTTTATATATACATATATAAACATTTGAACGAACGTTGTTTTTGGCCTCTGGAGACATCAAAATGAAAAAATCAAATCGGTCCCGGGCCTAGGTCTTACCATGCCACCTACGGTAATAGCCACTTCCCTATATGGAAATTCGGTAAAATTAATATACCTACTTAGATTGTTATCACATCGCAAAACTCGCACCAATAATATACCATTTTTACGTAAATTTAAGTACAAATTGAACCGATATATGGGTTGAAATTCAAGAATGCTGAGTAATGATTGGGTATTTCTACGACGCCATAAACAGGATCAGGTATTTATGTTCCTTTGTCTTACCTCAGCATTTCATTGTTGCAGACTCACTCGCTGTCACGTTGGACATCAGCAGACATGTCCTCGTTGGGAGCAGCAGCAGTCCTCAGCGTTTGCCTTTGTCTGTTATCCTGCACAAATGCTGATACACAAAACTGCGTGGATTACAACAACGATGTATTGTACAAAGCTGACGACGTATGTATTGCGTATAGTTTAAAATACACTAATTACTATAGAACTTAATTATGCCTCACACAATAATAGGTACATTTATTACAAGTAAACAAATTCATTTTGTACTATAGCCAATGAATGAGGTAGGTAGCGACCAAAAGGGTTTCACAATTTTCACTTTTATGGATACATTACATTGCTCTCAAACTAAAGATCTAAAATTGTCTATTGAAAAATAAATAATTACTAAACAATATTATAAAAAAACTCTAGGTATAGTGTTTAAGTTTATAGACTGAAGTTTCACTTTTGTTTTGTTTATAAATTAAACCTTTCCATATGATTACTAGGCGAAACTGGAAAAGTGTGTTATGTTTTGTTTGAAGTTTGTTTAGCAAAGATTATAATGACAGCTTATTAAATTCGAAGCAAAATTCTTCGATTTTTAGGGACAACTATTTAACTGCATAAGCTGAATAAACCAAATCAGCTGAGCTAAACACGGTTATACTATGGCATGATACTTCTTTGTCTGTCTTAATCTACTCCACTTTAACTGTAAACACGCTCGAGATATTAGAGCTACGTTTATATTACTAGCATTACAGTAAAGAAATATATGAAGATTATACCTCAGAACTACATTTTTCTAGAAACTGTAGATGCATTAAATAAGTGGTTGGATTATTTTGAGTCCCAGTCTGCTAATTCACTGGTATAACGGTTATTACATCGATATATTGATTGTATTGGCAGTAAAATCTGTAAAAACTAGATAATAATTAGAGCCTGTGAAAATGATTTTTTTTAACTCTTCCTATTATTGGCTTTGATGGAAGGAAGGGATTAGTATTTTACAATGGTTTTTCTAAATTGTATAGTCAGGAATTGTTCTCATATTCCATTTGTGTACCTAGACCTGATGATTGAGATACTAACTCCGAAATTTAAATTGGCATATACGTATACTGACTGAATTTTAAAGGTGGACAGCTAGGTTTTAGTAATTTAGATTATTCTTGAAATAAAAGTTCAGGAGGCTATCATAATGAATCAATTAAAAAATAGTTTTCTTACTATTTTAACCATATTTTGAAAGTTGTTATTACTGTATTGAAAAATTTCACCATTAAAAAAATACAATCAAACACAAACATAGGTTTGTTTGTATTATTTGTATTGTTTGTGCTACCTATATCAAAGTGCTAATGTATAATTCGTTTTATGCATATTTTTTAACTACCGTATATATCCTTGAAATATAATCAAAACTAAATACGGTTTGAGATCCCCAGCGGCAAAAAGAGGACTGAGTACACTTCCATATATGTTGGTACAAACAACCGAATAGTAATATCGATCGATATATCGATTATTCAATATATCGTTTGGTTAGTTAGGCAATGTTAACCTAACCTAACTAACCAAACGATATATCGAATTAAACAATCGAATAATTAATATTACTCATTCGGTTGTTTGTGCAAACAGATATGGAAGTGTATTCGTCCTCACTGAATCGAGAGTATTTAGTTTACAGCGATGATCAATCGACTGAATTCCAAATTTCTAAACAGTCAATTTTCAGATGGAAGGAACGTGGTATCCAATCGAGATAGTGATCCACCGCAACGACTCCAAGATTTACGGAGTACCTTTGGACACCAATTGCCCGGCAGTCACCCTCACGAAAGGGCCAAAGAAGACGCTGGTGATGATGTGGAACTCTACAGAGGGCGACCTGGAGTACAAATTCCAGCAGAAGGGGAGGGGACAGTGGCAATCTATCAGTGATCAGAAAGGTTGGTAGCTGAACATTTCGTGATCAAAGAGAAAGTGTTTAGTTAGGTTGAATAAGATATCTAAGTCGGAACTGTTGCCAGTTTTTTATAACATGGAATTTCATTGAATGAAGCATCTGACATGGTGTGCTGCTACTACTGTATTACATCATCTAATTTTCACTAGCTTTCGTTCTGGGTTTTTACACCAAACATTTTATTTTAAGCCAAAGCAAAACTGAAAGCACAAGTAGTAAAGGAATGTCCTATGGAATCTAAAATGTTTTCACTGAAATATTTTTCGTCATATCACAGCAAAAACGACTGTTTTAAAACAGGGTTGCAGCAGCTCTTTTTATCTATGCCAAAAAAGAATTAATATGATACGGCCGATGACATCGGCTGTATGTTTTAGAGCTTTGAAATTTGTCCGCTGATTTCACTGAAGAAAATGGTCCTTATTGAAGTGTCATTTGAACACTGTAACCATATAAATCTTTATCAACGTTTAGATAAATGTATGTGCAAAAGAATTTCGATAGTTTATTCAATAGTTCATTCCTCTTAAAGGTCTTGTATTGGTAGAATGATACATATGGTTTCTAATTGACAGTAACATATGTTGGTTGATAAAAGCAAAACAAGAAGGAAACCATTTTGGGAGCTAATTTACAAACGTAAATAATGTTTAAATTTTTGTGAATTATTTAACTTATTTGATTGTTATTCACACGAAACCGAAAGTCCGACCATAGCTCATTTTCCTTACCTCGGCTTACCCTCCGCAGATAAACTTGTTTTTTTTCTAAAATACTCACTTTAGGCTAGGATTATACCAGGACGCCAGCGTCCTAGTATAATCCTAGCCTTAGGATTAAATATACTATTTCTTTGTATTTTTTTTGTATTTTTTTTATAAACAACAATGTTCTAAAAACTAAAAAGTTCTTCTCCGACACACACAATGTATAAGCGGCTCAATCAACCAAGTCAAATCAAATAAAATGTCAACAGATAATATAAATGGGATATATCTACTTCGGGACTCTTAGTCAAACATAAACAAATGGCTCTCTTAATCTGTCGTCAAGTAGACTACTTATTCTATAGATTCGTAATGCAAGCAGAATATAAGTGATTAAGTATTGTAAAACTATTCGTGAATAAGTTGTGTTTTTATAGAGCGACATTTCATAAAAAATGTTTAAACAATAAAGCCATAATGTAAATATAACTATTTCGTTAAATTTTCTAGCTATTCAACGCATTTAGTTTTCTTATGCCTCTAATTGTATTTGTAAACAATAACCGTAAATCACCAGAAAAATAAATCGCTCTCTTTGTTTACCACTGTGGACTTTAAATGCTTATAGAACTTTTTCCCACAATTCACAGCAATTGATATCGGTAACACGAGACGAAAAACACGGCTTGGCCCAGTTTACGTTGTAAAGGTCACGATGTTAAATGCCACAGGCGATTACGTGTACAGCAAGGGGGTCTTTAATACTGTGATTGATTACTGTTAAAAGTATACAAACCTAAAAATAACCGAGATTAAATGAATTGGAGAAAGGAGTGTATTTTACTTGAATAACCGGAAGTTTGTGAATACATAATGCTTAGAATTTGGAATACTATACAGTTCATATGGACTTAATTAAGTAAAATTTCGTATGACAATTAGATTCAAACTATCTCCATCTGCATAATATAGAAAAGGTTAAAAGTTAAAAAAATAAAAGTTTCAAATGTCTGAAATTAAACTTGGTGTGCACGTAGGTACCCTTAAGGAACATATTCATCACAATGAATCCTGTTGTCATAAAAAATACGTTTATTGATGGATTTGTGAGTATAATGGTAAGGATTTTCAATTAACCATGTTCAATTACCTGGAGTACTTCCTCACTGAGTTTTGCTTATTAAAGTTGGGATCTATAGTGTCATTTCCTAGTTGAATACCCGATGAATCCAATGTGAATAATCACTATGAACATTTTCGTTTGAAGCTGTTTTCATTACAAAAGCTACCCTCAAACGACAGACAGGACAGTACTCAAATAGGACATTCTTTTATCTAGGTACTATAAGTGATTAAAGGCTATGAAACGGCGATACTATTACGCTATTACTACGGTTAAATAACAGAACAGCCCACCCCCTAACTGATCAATATGTAGTTAATGTATTATATAGCATTTACTTTTAAGTATCGTTGTTTGGATGTTACAAAGAAGAATATATAAATGTGGCTGATTTCATCTAGGTTCTTCCAATCCAGCTCAACAACTGAAGACGTCCCAGGCATCGATCCTGACTTTAGAAAAGGACAAATACATGATTGTCCGACTCTGCTCCACCTCTATTCACAGCTCTGTTATCCTCTCCCGCCAAAACACTAGATCAGCTGATGTACTGAGTGGGGCAAACCTACAGCTGGCTCAGCTAAACAAATCCCCAGCCTATGACAGGAAGCCAATGTGTAGCGCTGGAGCGTTGTTGGGTTACTCCATCAACGTTTTACTTGCGACCGCCTCCCTTATATTACTTTTACGGATTTAGACAATTGATCAAGCGTTATGATTGTAGCTCTTCCTATGTAAAGACACACAGATGTGCCCCAGATGTTGTCGCGTTGAAAGAATCGGCTAGAAGTTCGCTTTGAACTTGAGCAAGATACACTGAGTGTGAACGTTGATGATTTTACTTATGCGCCTCATGGTAGAATCTTCTCGGATACCCTTGCACGTGATTTCTTTAGAGATTCAATTATTTGAGGCTACATTATTAGAAAAGCCAATACCATTTAGTGTAGTTCCATTGACTATCGACCTGCAGATAGCAAATTGAAACGAGTCTCTGAATTCTTAAAGATTTACCAATTACGGATCGTAAAATTGTTTAAGTTTAGAAGTAGAGAAAATGTATCAATATCGTATATAGATCAAAATCCATTAAAACATTTACGTTGCAAAAACATTCCTCCCTCAAGCAAAAGATGTTCCCAAGCTTAGCGGCGTTCACGCATTTACTTCAATCACGTTTGTGCCTTTACAAAGAGAGAGCTTATGTGTATAGTTACCTCAGCTTACGCTTTACGCACAATCCTTGCACAGCACTTCGTGTACATGACTGCAACTGTATATATGTACCTAACTGTGACCAGCATTCCAAGAAGCCTTTACAACTATATGAACCTAATGCATTTTTCTGTTGAAGGGTCGCTGGCAGGTGACAACTACAAACAGTACGGAGGGATTTTCCGCGTTTTTAAAATGGACGATGACTACATGTTCTTGAGCTATTGCTCTAAAAATTACCGCGTTCTGAACACGGTTGCGTTCTCTAAGAGTGGTACGATGCCGCCGGAACTGATAGACGAGACTCTTAAAGAGTTGGAAGATAGGAAAATCAAACGATCAAGACAGATCAGGGTCCCGCCTTGTGAAGAAGGAGGATACAGCCATCGCATCTTGTCTTCGTGTTTGTTGTCAATCCTCCCAAGTCTGGTTGTGCGGTTTCCTCTCTAACCTCGCCACTAAGCCGATGTTTTTGAGAGTTAAACAGTTGATTTGCTGCGATTCCTGTAGTTTGCTTGCAAAATAGCCGTTTGTAGTTTGTCTCGAACAAGATGATCCCGACGTAATGATTATCAAAATACATTAGGTACTCGAAGTAAGTACTAGAAAAAAAGAAAGAAATATTGTAGACCGTCAGCCATGCTGCGATAAACATAGGTTCTGGCGTCCACCGCTGGGAGCGCCGTGTAGTCACGGTGTACGCGCTACGTAACTACACGGCACTCCTAGCGGTGGACGCCAGAACCTATGCTAATCGTAGCACGGCTGACGGTCTATATTTCATTCTTTTCATCTATGGTACTGTATGTACGAATGCATCAGGTGTTGCGGCATTCCCTTATCTTGCATGCCTGTATAAAACACATTCAAATGTGTGTTACCTCCAAACCAAACTTATTGGAATACGAATTGGAATCCTTTATTATAAAAGTACCTAAGGACAAAAAAAATCTATCGCTCAAAAAGTGCTTTTGAATCATAGCAGATGTGAATGTAGATATTTTCTATAGTTACTAATAAGAGAAAACTATGCCAAGAGCTGAAATTTTTTAAATTCTCTGATTTACTCAAAAACTTAAATTTACTTAAAACATGAATAAACTAAATAACAATTAAATTAAATTTTACTTTGAAATGCGAACGTTTTTAAATTAAGTGACAATTTATAGTCTGTTCCTTTTCGGCATTGTAGAGTCTAAAATTGGTCGGAGAGAAAACAATACGTTTCGAGATCATCCTGTGAATAATATTTCTTTGGGATATTTTTTTGCAGAAAGACCTGCGTTCGCTTGTCAGCTACGAATGAATACTTTTATTCTTTTAACTTGACATAATCCCCCTTAGTTCCCACCATATCATCCCTTCCCATCGCTACCTGTACCTCCATCTACATGTACTCATTGTTGACATTGAACGGCTTGTTGAGTTGTTGCCGATAGAAGCAATCGCCTCGTTTGCCTTGACTTGTTATCAATTTAAATTCTACGGAGTAACTCCTCGGGGTGAAGTTTGTAAATAAGATTTCAATGAGAGTTTTGATCTGATTGTGGCCTTTTAAAATCTACGTGTGGATCGCATCTTGTGATGTAGCTTGAACTTATGTCTATTCTCGTTGACTGAACTGTTGTAGTGGTGAATTGCGACATTTTCACTCAAATTGATTATTAGTGGTAGAAAATTGATTGACTTCCACGTATAGTTTCAACGGTTCACCACTATAAACAGATAAGGATATAACTTTTTGAAGATTTGTTGATATTTGTATGTTACATGTAGTTGTACGGTGTCTACCATTTGATCGAAAAACAACTTGGTCATCAAGCCAGTTAACTGTCGTTACTAGTCTAATTAAATAGATCGATAGAAATAAGACATACTACTTTGTCGACATTTGTTGAGCAATCGCGATTTATTTTCACGTAAAATAAGATGAATGATGAGAAACCACTTGACTGTCAAGATAGTTTTCTCTTGGACACTTGACCGTCAGTCGGTCAACTGGCTTGACAACCAAATAGCTTGTCGTACAAGTGGTAACGCCCCGTAGTTGTAGGCCTATCTGTCGTACATCTGTCTCACTTCCCCACACTGCAATACAGTATTCTGTCTCACACTCACGCCCTTCCATCCGTCCCGCTGTAGATTCCCTGCTTGCTATAGGCTTGGCCTTACGTTATTTTTTTGATAGTTTATTCTAACGTGTAAGTCCTGTGAGTCTTCAAACTTGTTTGTGATGTGTCACATATTGTACGGGGAGGAATGCATTGCATGTGTATGGTAATTTATCGTTTCAGGCTTGTGACGAATATTAGAATCAAGTATACAGTTTTGGACAGAGCAAATGTTTAATTCTTGATTGGGTTATCCATCAAATATATTTCTTAAATATTACGTATTTTAAAATATTGTAATGTACTCATGTCATTATGCTGTACTATATAAGTTACATGTCTAACATTCATGTAATTAATCGTTAAAAGTTTAATTAGAGGATTCCAGACAGTTTCTAATTATTTGCAGGCTTAAATTCAAAATAACATTTTAAATTTACTAATTGCATATTATGGTTTGAAGTTGTACAAACAGGCTAACTAGCTATTCTCATGTGGCGTCACAAAAACATTTAAATACATAATATATGGGCGTGCATTAAATGTATGAGGACATAAAGCCTACATTACCGCTTAGCAGTTTAGTATTAATTGTGGAGCAATGCTGCTTTACAAGCCAAACGTTTATACATCACGATATGGAGATACTTTTTAAAGAAATTTCAACTTTAATAATATGAGTATGTTTATTCTACTGAATCTTAAAGGCAGGGTCAAGCACAGAAAGGGTCTTAAACAAATTTTATTTAGACGGTACTTCATGTGATATAAAGTTTGAAACCTGTTTTTCAAACGTTCAAAATGTAAAACTTTAATTTGGGATTTACTTTTAATTAGCTAAATAGCTAGTAACAAATCCGACAGCCGCTCCAACACCAAAGGAATGCTAATGATAAACCACAAAAAGCCCACAACACGCACTTTACATAGCTAGTGCACTATTCCTAATACTAATATCCCAATATTCATGTAAGTATTGAGTCTGTGTATATAGCTATCCAGTTATGCACGAATAATAATTTAGTAAATTAAATATTATTGTTAAGGTAATTATGTATTGTATACAGTATGAAATAAAATGGTTTATTGTCTGTAACTGTTTGCTTTATTCCATTGTTCTCACTCAGAATCGTAGAGAACAGATAAGGTGTACAAACTGAAACTCTGTACTGTAATAGTGTAATAGATCTATTCTCCTTGTGAATCATCGAAGAAAAATCATTCTGTCAGGTATGTATATTGTTCGTTGGTGATGACTAATTTTATATCCTAAACCCGTTTTAGCATTAAAAAACTATATCAAGTATTTCAACCTTTGCTTGGCTCGTGCTCTAGTAAAACAACGATCACATAAGACCAATAGATGGAACACGTCGGCCACGACGTGAAGCCAGTATTTTTCACTAATCTTCACCAAGATGGCGGCTGCCGGCTGTGATGAGCCTAGTAGCGCGCGCAACTAATTAAATGTTAGTTGATATCAATGATATCCGTGACAATACGCCTTTGTATTATAAATATTTCTATTACTAACACAATGACATTCAAAATACTGTACGCTTTTAATTTTTTTACTAGCGTTTACCGTTTCTTGGAAAGCTAGTTTACATAATTGACAACAAACACTTTTTGGGCAAAAGAAAAATTCTGAAAAGCTACAAATTAATTTATAATGTACTAGCTGTGTACCCGTTCTACGCACGGGGATCTTATAGTAATCAGTTGAAACCTTCTTATTGGATAATAAGAACAGATAATAAGAACAGCAGTTGGTTTGCATATTTTCAGATATGCTGGCCAAACTATTTATTATACATAACTTCATTTTATGTCGTTTGTTGTTTTTCCGGATCGGTATGAAAATCAATAAAAGGCTAAATTACCTGTGTCCGATGGTCGATCCTAATGTATCCTATTACAGGAGATGCATTTTGGCGAAATTAAATCGCCATCATCAGTCCTAAAGGTCTTGAGCTTCCCCTTAGGCGCGTCTTGGAGTTTTTGAAACACATACACCAACTGTACACTTATACACATGACGAATAAATCATAAATACACATTAGGCCTACTTTTATTTTTACTATAGACGCGCGTCGGTCGTGTGCCGAGTCTCGACTGAAAACGCTCATTTAAAAAATGTAAGTATCCCAGCAATATACAACACTGATTCAAGGTCTATTTCCCGGTTATCAAAACTCAAGAACAATTTTATACACAAAGAATATCTATTTTCATTTACCCTACATATTATTGCACTTGCGATTAATTAAATCCGTTATGTAAGGAAAAAGGTTTTAATCTTAATTGGTTTGGATTTGCTTTCAAAACGTGATCGGAAATGGTTGCGGTATTTGTAAACATATCAGTGACAGCTACAAGAAATAATCTTGATTTGAACAGCTGTTCGTTATTTCATAGAAGAATATGTGCTAAACATTGGGAGAAAACTTTACAAAAATCGCACAAAATTGGGTTTTTAAACGTCTGTTGTTTTATTTACAAAGTGGTGACGCCATATTTTAATGGCTAAAGACAATTTCGCCAATCCAGTGAATACATTAAAATGATTTGGAACTTGATAGGTACTCTCGTTTTTCAGGAGTAGGCCGCGTAAAATGGCTCTTGGGTCGTAACAGACATGAAGACAGACAGAAATTTAGATGAGACGTGTTTCGGTTTCTCTGATGTATAAAACGTAAAAATAACCCAAAAGTTTATGATTCTGAGCAATGTACAGACAAAACTCTAATTTTATTTATATAGATGTATCTATATCGTATTTAAGTTTGATTAAGTTCTGGCGTTTGGTCTACAATGACACACGAATTTTCAATTTTTTTTACAATGGCGTACGAATTTTCTAAGTCACAAGATAGTTTCTGAAACCCTTTATATTCTTACACCTTTATATTCTGACTGTCAAATTAATTTTTATGATAGAGCTGTTTTTATGAATACAAAGAATAAAACGAAGAACCTTTATATGTACTCCGTGTTTTTCTAATTAGTTTAGAAACATTTCTGTATAGCTCCAAACATTAGTATCTAAACTGAATTAGTGAGGTTGTATACGGAATCTGCCAGCATGACACAACGCGGCGCGGCGGGTAGCCCCTATGGTACAATTTAAATTACAACCAAACTACACCAGCTATATGATCCAAAAAATTCAACTCTAGCTACAAAATCCACCGTTTTTTTACTTACCTGGCAAAAAAATAGCAGCCGACGAACTTTTTCATGTCATGTTTTAAAACTCATTTAAATGTACCGACTTTATTTGAAGATTTAAAATATAAAATATTAACTCTTAAGCTTTTAATTAGAACCAATAGCGTCCTAGACTTATTGACATCTCTCACACGAAGTTTCTACGATTTACCTTTAGTCTAAGTGTAGGCTAAATGTCAAGTTATTTTGAAGCGGAACATTGAGTTTTTTTGCCGTTTTCATCGGCATCTAGCGCTTCTAATCCTACGATCCTAAGATCTATACTTATCCTAACATCCTAAGATGGCGGAACTGGCTTCACTGCTTGAATGTAGATAGGCGTGCTCCATCTATTGGTTTTGTTTTATGTGATCGTGGATAACCAAACAGTACCACTGTAAAATCTAGTCTAAAGGAGTATGTTTTATCTATGTCTAAAGTATGATAAAAACATCAGTCAACATTAGCGCACTCACGTACCTAATCTGATCGATGAGAAACGCTCATAAAAACTGGCTTCAGATTCAGCAATACGATGATGGTACAGTAGTCTAGTATCCAAGGTCAACAATGATGTTTAGCTGAAAACGTGTAACAATGTCTTTGGCTGCAACTCTCACTAAGGAAGTTGCATTGGCACAGGGAGTATGAAGTTTCTGGTAATAGCGTAGATTAAATTATTAGACCTGTGGTAATAGTAAAAATATGTTTAAGTCCAGAGTCCCCACTCCCCAGTGGACGGGGTTCCTTAGGAAACCATTTTCAAGTACTGTACCTACATACTGTGTAAATAATCGAATTTATACAACCTAAAAATTAATCAGTTCGTGGTTTAAGTTAACATACCTCTTTAAATTAGAACACTTTATCGATAATCTAGGCTAGGCCTACTGAAATTGATTGCAATATTAGGCTATTGTTTGCATTTCATATAATTGAATTTGGTATTTGAAGGCGTAAATAGCAACATGAAGGCATTGGTTAAAGAGATTAATTATATCACCTTATAGATTTTCATATTCAGCTGAAAGCAAATAAGCAATGACCCATAGTGACCGGTAAAGGAGTTTTTTTTGGAATTTTGGTTATTTCTTAGTATTTTACTTATCTTGTATTTGACTACTTAAGTTACTTAAGGTTTCTATTGTATCTGTAATTTGTAAAATGTAAAAACAATACACGTAGCCTATTGTAGAAATGTTGTAGTGGAACAGTCCGAAGGAAAGACTGGTCTTGTTATGAGTTGGGCAGAATAATGATTTATCAAGGTCGAACTGGCAATATTCGGACCGTTTCGACAAAAATTGCAGCAACGTGTAATGTAGTTGTAATTTACTTAAAGGAAAGATACGAACATTTTTAATCAATATTAACTTAATTGCTTATAGGCCTATTTTTAAACTGTCTAGAAGGATTTTTGGCAAATAACACACACGTGGTTTACAGACAGCTAAGTTAATGCATATATTTCATTAATCAAATTTTACAGAACTACATTACAAAATCAATTCTGACAAGAATTAAGTTAGGTGCTAAAGAGTTTGAAGAGCAAAATTCAACAAAATATTACGTTAGTGACAACAAAAAAGAAAAAAGAAAATATGTTTACATTAGGCCTAAGTTTAGTATATATTTGTGGCACTTAAGAAAACGTATGTAAATAATGCTAAACGCCTAATGTTCGTTTCTGAAAAGTCTCACTCCGTTACGCCATCAGACTCCGAAGCTTCTTCTTTAACTTCAACCTTTCCAATTTTCGTATTTGTAGATTGAGGTGCAGGTAACTCTGGGTGAATCTCATCTTCATTGTCTTCTCTAACAACCACGTATCTTTCAGTGTCTTTCAACTTAAGCTCCTCAATTTCCTTAGTTAATCTTAGAATCTTCTTCTCCTGGTTGCCAATTATCGCTTTGAGTCTTATCGAGTATCCAGATTTAGTTCCCTTTTCACAAGGTCTGCCCAGATAAGGGTATCTTGAAGGCACCACATATGTGACTAATGGCTCTAGTACCATGATTTGATACTGTTGGGAAGAGTCGAAGGCTACGTTCTGGCTGATCATTCTGGATTGCCAATCTCTTGTTAATGTTAACGATAGTTTTCGGCATGCCGCCTGTTTCAGTTCCAGCTGTTGTTGTAGAAGGCTAATTTTATCCTGAAGATCCTTATTCACTTCTGCAAGGTATTTTACTTTCAGGTAAAGTTCCTCTTGGACTTTCAGCAACCTCGCCACGCGATGACAGTTGGAACACGATATTGGAGGTGGTGGATGTTGAATGCCACTATTACTTTGAGACTCCATTTCTTTCTGAACGAAAATCTGTTTGTTTTTATTAAATGTTTCAATGAACCTCTTGCCGCTTTGATTGGGCCTAGAGTCGCTACGGTTCGAGTTTTGAGAGCCGTTTTCAGTTTCTTCGTTTACAGATTTCAGCGTTGGACGTTTTGGTATGTTTAATTTTACATTTGATCTAGGCCTAGTGTTGTTATCAAAGTTTTCCTTACTTGAGTCATCACTCTCTTCGCTGATGTTATTTCTCTCGGGGATTATTTTCATAGTAGGGGGGCAGAATTCAAAGGCTTTACTTATGCCATAAACTTCAGTGTGTCTACTTATGTAAACAAAATTATACTTAAAGCCATAATTTAAGTTTTTCGCCCCTTTTAAACTAAACAGGATTCTGAAACACCTTTCGGATGTGCTTGTAGGAACACAAGATGCGAATTCAAAAGTGGTCATCAAATCAAGATTTATGGAACTCGACAAATTGCACCCGAAAGGAAAGAGTGCTATCCAGTCACTTGTAGAAACACTTACTTCTTTATCTACTACATACTCGATTAGGATTTTAAAAGGACAATTAAGATCCATCTGAAGGTTTTT